ATGAAGCCTACTTGATATGATGTATGATCTTTTAAATACTTTGCTGCAGTCTGTTTGTCAGTATTTTACTGAGGAGTTTTGCATGTATGTTAATTAAGGAGATTGGCCTGTAGTTCTGTTTTTTCTTTTGTACCAGGGATTGAACTTGGGTCCTTGTGCTTGCGAGGCAGGCAGCAGAACCACTGAGCTAAATCCCCGGCCCTGTAGTTCTCTTTTTTGGCTGAATTCTTTACTGGTTTTAGAATCAGGATAATGTTTGCTTCCAGGAATGACTTTGGGAGTACTGCTTCCTTTCTGATTTCATTAAAGAGATTGAGGAGTACTGGTGTTAGATCTTCCCTAAAGTTCTTGAAGACTATGGTAGTGAATCTGTCCGGCCTGAGCTTTTTTTAGTTGGTAGTTTTAAAATTACTTCTTTAATTTCATTCACTGATATTGGATTATTCAGGACTTTATATCTTGTTCAAGCTTTTATAATTCATATATATCTAGAAATCTATCCATTTCTTCTGAATTTTCCATCTTATTTGAGTATAGTTTCTCAAAGTAGTTACCTGGGCTGGGGATTTAGCTCAGTGGTTCTGTTGCCTGCCTCGCAAGTGCAAGGTCCTGAGTTTGAGCCCCAGTACAAAGAAAAAAAAGATCAAAGTAGTTACCAATGATCTTCTGGATTCTGGCAGAATATGTAGTGGTTTCACCTTTTGTCATTTCTAATTGCATGGATTTAGGTCTTTTCTTTATTTTGGTAAGATTAGCTAAGAGTTTGTCTTTTATTTTTTCAAAGAACAAACTCTTTGATTCACTGATTCTTTATATTGTTTTTAGTTTCAATTTCATTAATTTCTGCTCTGAAATTTGTAATTTCCTTCTTTGTACTAGTTCTGTGTTTGGATTGTTCTTGTTTTTCTAGGACCTTAAAGTGCATCATTAGGTTATTTGGACTCTGTTTTTGTGATGTGGGCATTTACAGCTATTTATAGCTTCCATTTTAGGAGTGCTTTCATTGTGTCCCATAGGTTTGGGTATGTCATATTGGCGTTATCGTTTGATTGTAGGAACTGTCAAATTTCTTAATTTCTTCTGAGACCCATGATTACTCAAGAGGTATTGTTTAATTTCCATGTGTCTGCATAATTTCTGTGGTTTCTTTTGCCATTCATTTCTAGTTTCATTATACTATGATCTGATAAATATGGATGGTGCAGTTTTGATTCTTTTCCATTTACTCAAGCATGCTTTATGGGCTATTATTTGGTCTATTTTTTTTTTTTTTTTGGTACTGGGGATTGAACTCCGGTCCTTGAGCTTGTGAGGCAGGTGGTGGAACC